AGCTTTTCCAAATGGTCATCCAAATATAGCCATCTTTTACTCCGGATTTTTCACTAGCCAAAAATAGAAGACGAGAATGGCTCTCCAGAGTATGCATGAGATATAAAAAACTGTTAGAGAGTGAAAAGATATAGAAAACGATTTTTATGCAAATGACTCTCTAAATGATAATTTAGAAAGTGAGGTTTAGAAAGGCTCTTAGAGATGCTCTAACATGCTTGCCAAGCTGACAACTATCACAGGTGGACGACAGCTTGATGGGGATGAAGTCGAGGTTGGAGATGGTTTTGGGCTTGTTCGCTTGGAGAAATTTGGATGGTTTGGAGAAATGCTAGAGGAATTTGTGAGAGAAAAACATTGTTTCGGATGAAAAAAGAAGCGGATCAAGCCGGGTTTAAGAGCACGCGAACGGGGCCTTTGTGCAGAACACGACCCCCAGGTGACCAGGTCGATGATGCCAAAAGTCCACGGAGGGCGCGGTGGAGACAAGGGCCTCTGGTGTAGGAGGAACCAGAGGGTACAGCTCACCATGACTATCACATCGGAGGAGCACCATTCGAGTTGGAACGTCCTTAATTGAAAAACCAAAGGGGTCAAATTCGATGCTAACATTGTTATCTCGAGTTAGAGTACGAATGGAAAATAAGTTTTTTTGACAAGAGATGGAGACACTAGGACATTGTTGAGATGAAGGGGATGACGGGCAGTGGGGAACGTTGTTGACGCACGATGGGTGACAGGCACCGTGGCGCCATTGCCGACGGTGATTGGTGCAGAATTGAATAGAGGTTGAGGAGATGGGAAATTACCGGGGCTAGATGACATGTGGGACGAAGCGCCGGTGTCGAGGAACCACTCGGCAGACTGAGGACCAGAGGGTGGCACGTTCGTCGTGGCAAGGGCGGCGAGGAGGGCCTGTTGGTTCCAGACGTCCTGCGGTGGTGGGGATGGGTTGGTGAAGACACCGGGATCTGGAGAAGGGTTGGCGGGGTAGTATGCCTGGTGAGGTGCGGTGCCCGGTCGGGGGCCGAGGACGCCTGCGCCGGGTGCTCGGAACGGCATTGTCCACGCCTGGACCATGCCGGTCCAGGGATTCACACCTGGAGTCCATGCCGCTGGACCGCATGGCGCGGAGTAGGAACCGCCGGGCTGCTGGTAGTTGCAGCGGCCACGGCCGCTACCACTGCGGTTGTCGGAGTGAGGTGTGGCGCCGCCGGTGCCAGCCGCCGGAGGATGAGGAGCGGGCGGCGTGCTATTGGAGCCGCCGTCGCCGGTGGTTGGAACGGTGGGACTGGCGCCGCCAGTAGCGATGAGGGCCTATTGTGCGGTCGTCTTGGCATGCTCCTTATCGTACTGCTCCTCCAGAAGCAGGTAGGAGCGTGCTGAGAGGAATGTGTGCGACGGTTGGCGCACCGTGATCGCCGGGATCGCGTGACGATACTTGGAACTGAGGCCGCGCAGCATGTTGAGTACTTGACTGGTCTCGCGCACCGGTTGCCTGACGTCCCAGAGCGCGTCGGCCAGCTGCTTGAGACGCCCAGTGTACTGCTTGATGTCCATGTTGCTCTAGACCAGGTTTCTGTACTCAGCTTCCAGGTAGACGGCGCGGTGGAGCTCGTTGTCGCGGAATTGCTCACGGATGCCGGCCCAGATACGGTAGGCAGTGGCGTTGGGGGCGCGCACGATCGCATGCACATACTTGGCGATGGAATTGTATAACCAGCTCAAGATGCACTGGTCAATGACGAGCCAATCTGGATCGCGGCGCTGGGCGGCGGTTGGCGGCGAGGAAACATGAGAGCCGAGGCCAAACTTGCCGGGGAACGCATCGAAGAAACAGCGCCACTCGTCATTGTTGGGCACAGCAAGCTCAAGAACGACGGAAACATGAGACTTGATGTTCACCGTCTGGAGCACAGCAACGGGAGGAGTCGCGGTGGCGGGATTGGGAGAAGCGTCGCCGTCGATGGAGGACGTGGGGGAGGAAGCGCTAGAGGGGCAGCACTGGAAAGGTGAAGGCCGAAGAGTGGGTTGTCAACCATGTCGTCCATGGCGATGGAGAGGAGGAAGGAGGGGAGGACGGCGGTTGCAGCGGAGGGAAGCCGACGGCGAGCAGGCGGAGGATCAGCCCGAGCTATCCGATACCACGTAGAAAAAGTATAGGAGAGCCAACGACGTTTGCATTGATCTCACATGAATGTTTATATGTTACAACAAGGGTTGCTCACTTGGCAACTACAGCTATACTCTAGTGTACATCGTGGGCGCGGGCGACGCGCGTGGTGACCGCGCATGGAGCTCGGACAAAGGCAGTTGCCGTTCCAGGCGTGACACTATTCCTCATCACGAACATTGTGGCCTTTGAAATGTGGACTGCCCAAATGGCGAGGCTACTCTTGCTCTGTTCCCAGATACTGAAATTTGTTGTCAGCGCATGCAGGATAATAACAAATTAGTTCCTTTCCTTACCAAAGGATTTTTCTTTTGGGTGCAGAATTTAGAGGACCGGTGTAGGTTCTTACTTGAGGCCCTATCTTCCAGGGTGTGAGAGAGTGCACTTGCTGTCTAAAAATTGCTCATGATTGTTGCCGATTCAGTTCAGGTGCTGTCTTGTGCCATTGTCTATCGATGTCCATGCATCATATCTGCCGCGTGAGCCATGTGCCCATGACTCATGTTTGCAGATGCCGCATGAACAAGCAGCAGGCCGACAAAGCCCTGTTCGATTTTTCTCTCACAACAAATCAACCCTATAAATCAGCAGCATCAATAATTCCTGCCGAACAGATTCAACTGTAGAGGCTGGGCAATGGTCATTATGAGACCACAGATTCACATGGGCTCACCTGCTGGATGCTGCTGCTATTTTTCAACGCGTTTCGTTTACAGAACACACCGATGCGGAGCTGTGGACCCTGGCGAACCTAGCCGAATCCACCCCTTCACTCACCGAGTAACCCCGTACTCGCACAAGCATCGAGCCATTTCAGCGGCAGAGCCAAAAATAATTTAGGAGCTCATACGATTCTCATTATCTAAAGAGATTTATTTAGAAAAATTTAATGTTTTTTCTTCATACAAAGGATTTTTTCCCTATGTTTTACTAAGAAGTCCAAACAACTGTCTGGGATGGTCTGGTTGTGGCTCCCCACCGCTAAGAACATATCGGATTACTTCAGTGCACATCAACTGATTCCAGATGGGTCTGCTCGAACCAAACACACTGTTTATAGAAGAACAGAAAATTTAACAAGTTCCTTTTTAGTATATTGAACAACTTAAAAACAGGCCTACGAAGTTAGTTGTGCAAAGCGTCAAAGTTTGCTAGCTTATTTGGCATGTGTCCCCAACGGTTTATTGGTTTACGTGTGTATTTATGGTATGATATGATGAAGAAGGAGATTCTTCTTCTTCTTCTTCTTTGAGGAATGATGAAGAAGGGGCTTCTTCTTCTGGTCTTTGACGTCCTTTCTATCAAAAGTTGCAAAAGCTTTCGTTTCTTTTGAAGGTGGCTGGGCCTTTTATGGGATTGTATGGGCTCGTCAGAGCTCGGCTCCCTCTACTACTTTCTAGCCTAGTATGGGCCTTGTTTCTGTGTGCACAGACAGACATAGTACTTTTCGGCTTGAAGAACCAAGCCCAATGCTCGGGTTATCACAACGGAATCCAAGAAAATGCCCCAAAACAATACTAAACACTTTCTAATCTTCAGAATTTTATTACTTCACTGGTCCAATGCTAGATAACTTGAAACGTATGAGCCTAGGTGGAATACGGTTTGTTTCTATAATACCAATATATAGATGCTCACATACACACATGCACTTTCTCCTATATAATTGCTCGAAAGATATATATTTCACAACGAGAATCAGCTAAGCGAGGCTTAGCTCGCCAAATAAATCACTATAATTATCCCCAAACAGTATATACCTGATGGATTTTGTAACAAGCAACAAAAGAACTTTGAAATTAGTTTAATTATCCCTAAACAGTACAAACCTATTGGTACAAACAGTAGAATATTTTTTTTTTGTTAAAAAGTATAGGCAAATTTGAAACCAAGTACATCTCCCAAAAAGAAAAAATAAAACCTTAAACATTTGAGTCAAACAACCAACTAACGTCGAGATCACTCGATTTCGCCCTTCAACTTCTTGGGTCCACTCGTTCAGATTCAAAATCGGAGTGGTGGCAATGGTGTGTGTTGAACTGCTGATGCAACAACGAGCGTGGTGCGGCCCCAACAGGCACACCCCATGCCACGCAAACCAACCGGCTCCCTCCAACGGCACAACCGTCCACCCCACGCATCAAGATCCGCGCGGCGTGTGCCTCCCTCGTGATCGATCCCCCGCACCCGGATCGACCAGAATTTGAAATGCTGTGCTCAAAAAGAGCCGTTGCCCGTTTCCAAAATCTAAACCACCGCCAGGTGGGCCCCGACCCCGCTCCTGCCCCGCGCGTCAGCCTCCCGTTCCGCTTGGATCCCACGGCAGAGCGGGGCCCACCGGCGCCCCAACCCCAAATTCGAAAGCACCAATTCTAATCTAGCGTGCGTTTTTAATACCACTCTCGGATCGACTCTCCCTCCCAGCAGCATAAATGCCCGGCCTTTAGCGGCGTCCCCGATCTGATGCTCCCAGCCGCCTCCGTCTCTCCTCGCCGCTACCGCCGCTTGTGGGCTCCGCTTCGTCCGCGCTGCGCGGCCGCCTCGAGCTCGAGACCGCGTCGGTAAGCACAGAAGCACCTGCCTTTCTCCCCCCCCCCCCCTCTCGATTCGCTTCACGAGTAGACGAATTCTTTCGATTCGAGGACGCCGCCATTGACCGACCTTAAGATTTCATGAAGTGATAGTCTGTTCCGCTCAGGTGTATTTTTCTTGTTTGATCTAGAGCAGGCTGTATCTGTGATTTTCTCTTTCTTTTGGGGATGCTGCGGAGCGAACGCTGAGGAGCGGCGAGGAGTTTTGATTCAGGTGTAGAGAGTTTCTAGTATCGATGGGGCCCGAGAAGGGTGGAGCGAAGGTTATTGGCGGCGGGGGAGGCGGCGGCGGGATCTTCAACCTATTTGATTGGAAGCGAAAGTCACGCAAGAAGCTGTTCTCCAACTCGCCCGGTATGTGTTTGTTAGAATGCCTCGCTTCCTGGAAGAGCTCTTGTCTCTGATTAATGCTTTCGTAATCTGGTCTCGTGATCTGTTCGCAGAGGGGTCCAAGCTTGTCAAGAGGACCGATGAAACCTTGCTGTCAGGGCGTCTCCACTTGGTGAGTAATCTCTGGGCAGTACTGCTCTGAACAGCAACTCGTTGCTTCTGTTATACTTTTGAAGGGGATTGCGTTCACTAATGTTTAGGTGGATGCATTTGTGTAGGGTGATGAAGATGAGGGGATTGGTGTATCAAGCTTCAAGGGGAGCAGCGACTACAGCTGTGCGTCTTCAGTGACCGATGAGGAAGGGCGTGAGATGAAGGCGCCAGGTGTGGTGGCCAGGCTCATGGGCTTGGACGCCATGCCCACCTCGGGTGTTCCAGAGCCGTACTGCACACCGTTCCGAGACACAAGATCGTTCAGGGACAGCCACAGCCTCAAGAGGAGCCCTGAGTACTCAATGAATGACCAGTTCGGTCATGTTCCTCGAAGAGTTGATGGCTATATCAGGAAGCCATTGGATCTCAGAGCACCGAAGATGCCAAGTAGCCCGATTGAAAGGTTCCAGATGGAAGCATTGCCACCAAGGTCCGCAAAGCACCTACCGATGTCTCACCATAGATTGTTGTCCCCCATCAAGAATCCAGGTTTCAGTTCAGCGAGGAATGCTGCCCAGATCATGGAGGAAGCAGCCAAGATTCTTCAGCCAAGGGCACAAGCCATCTCTAGGGAGAAAATCTGCTCTTTTAGCCCGGCACGAATTCCTTTGAGAGTTTCGGAGCCAAGAGAGAGCATCCCTCCTTCTCAGAGGACTGTGCCTCTGAAGCCACAATCATCCAGGACCGCTCCTGAGCTACCAGATGTGAGGTTCTCCAGAGCACAGCAGATGAACCGAAGCTGGAATAGCGAGGAAGATATTGTCATATTCAGATCTTCGATTGATTCTTATGAGATTAATAATCCTAGTTGTTTGAATTCGAAGAACAACAAGGGAAAGTCTATTTCTTTGGCAGTCCAAGCAAAGAACAATGTCCAGAAGAGGGAAGGCGTAACTGGTTCTGGGAGGAATTCAGGATTACAGAAGGAGCATGATGAGCAAAGAGCAAACCAACCATGTAGGAGTCAGTCTAATCTCCAGAGAAACAAGCAGCAAAAGAAGCCATCATCATCTGGCACTTCTTCCCCTGTCCTTCGGCAAAATAATCAGAAACAGAATTCTTTGGTAACCAGAGGTAAGGTGGCACCAAACAAAACTGTCTCAACACAGCAAGGCAGAAAGCTGATGGCAGGAGATTCCTCTTCTGGGAAGATCAAGAGTGGAAGCAAGATATCTAAAGTTGGTGGCAGAAAAGACATCGTGGAAAGCATAAGTGGTGATAGAGAAGGATCGTCGTCAAACAACAAGGACTTCCCACAGAAGAAACGGTTGATAGAGAGGAACTCCACCAACGAGAAGGGTACATTTGTGCCTGAAAAACCAGTGGGTAAACTTAAGAAGCAGGTTCAACCTAATGTTGTTATGGATGAGCACATTAAGTGGAACAAGGAAAGTAAAGACACTACAGATGTTGTGTCATTTACCTTCACCTCACCCTTGGTCAAACCAGTGGCAGGACCGTCCAGACTGGCGGGTAAGTGGGATACAAGAAGCAATCTTGATATGGATGCAGGATGTGATAAAGATGACTCAGATAACAAGGCCGAAGGGCTGTCATCAGTGGGTCTGAACTTTGTAAATGGTGATGCATTGAGCCTTCTCCTAGAAAAGAAGCTGAAGGAGCTAACATTAAAAATTGATCCATCAATCACCTTTACGAGGGGTGACACATTTGTGCCTGCTACTTTTACCTTGGAGGAACCATCAACTTCTTCATACAGCAATTGGGGCTCGGAAAGTGGAGTATTTGACGGTAGCCCTTCTGAAGTGAAACCTTCTCAATATGATTATTGCCCTTCAGCCCAGTCATCTACAAAAGGTCAAATTTTCCGAGGCAGTAAAATAAAGGTACATATTTGTTTGCATTACCTTATGGTATATATCACAACAACAATTCCTGATTATGATGAGTATCTTTGTGAATAATATGATAGCACGGCAATACAATCTAATTATAATAGGAACTATCATTTTACATTTTGCACCAATAATTTCTTTCTGAAGTGGATTTTGGGAAGGATTCCATGTCATAGTAGAATAGTGTTTCTTTCACTGCTCAATATGTTTAATTGTTTATGGCTTAATGTTATTATTACTGAAATCTGCTTGTGAAAGAATTTAAGGCACCTCTGTAGCTGTTCCCTGGTGACTATTCTAATGGCAAGAATTGGATTTCATCAATGTATTGTGTTTGACATAATCATGAGACATGACTCATGACATGGCACCAACGTTTTGCACAAACTTTCTGGTAGTTGCCTCTTCTGTGGTGCGTGTCTCTGAGCTTTAGTCACAGCTCCTTGTGAATATACACAAGACCCTCTCTGCTGATCCCATCAAAGAGGAAGAATTAACATGTGGAATAATGAAAATGGCAGGGAGTTTTCTTTGTTTTAACATGTGGAATAATGAAAATGGTAGGGAGTTTTCTTTGTTTTGGATATGCTAAAGGTTCTTTAGTAACTTAAGATTTACATTCTGGAGAGTCAAAAGTGTGGTCTTACTATGTGTGGCAGTATAGTATATTGCATGACTGCACGAATCCTTATCAGCTTATGTGCCACTTTCTAGTGTATTTGCAATTCTAATACAATATTTCACATGCATTTAGGTGGAAGAACAGGAAGAATGCAGCAGCATAAGCAATGCAAGGAAGGAGCAGGAAAATGATGATCTAAGTCCCCTATCTGTGCTTGAACCAACCTCTCTAAGTGAGAGTTGCTGGTCTTCCGAGTGTTCAGGCAGCAGCAGTGGTAATTCACCTAACATGAATTTCTGCTATTTCTTGAACTGTTGACATTTTTTTACCCCTGAACATTAATCATTTTTGCCTCATGACAGGGGGTAAGGGCTATTCATCACTTTTTGATGTTAAGAATGCCCAAGGGAATTTCTTGATTAACCCAGCATCAGTTGATATTGAGGCAAGGACAACAGACTCAGCCTCTTCCGCTTCAGTAGATACATCAGATGTTTCAGATGTCACCCAATGTTCTAAAAGATCAAGACACACAGAGCTGGAGTACATTGCAGATGTGCTAAGCAATGTCAACTTGACAACAGATGAACTGGGATCACTCTTTGTCAATCAGGATAGATCAGCTTTGGACCCCCTCCTCTTTGAGAAAATGGAGAATATGCATGTGTATACACAAGGGAAGGAACCTTTTTGCCATCGAGGGTACAGGCGGCTGTTGTTCGACTGCGTAAATGAATGCCTGGAGACAAGACGCACGACCTACTTCCAGGCAGGATATGCAGCGTGGAGCAAAGGAGCAGCAACGCTGAGCCGGGGCATAGAGGCCGAAGTCTGCAATGAGATCACCAGCTGGAAGAGCATGGGAGACTGGATGGAGGATGAGCTTGTCGACAAGGACATGAGCAGTGGACTGGGCACATGGGTCGATTTCCGGGTGGAAGAGTTCGAGGCTGGTGAGGAGGTGGAGAGCCACATACTGAGCTCACTGCTTGACGAGGTCATCGGCGACATGGTCCTGAGACGACGGCAGGAGTGTATATTTGTAATTTGAGATGAATCCTGTAGTTGTTGCTCTGTAATTTTGTTTCATTTTGTTGTTACATATCCCCTATTTATTCTGTCACCCAAGACATGTTGTTCAAATGAGTGATAAATGTTATTTACCCAATGGGATAGATAGTTCATCGATCGCTTTCAGCTTGATTACTGAATGAGCTTGCCCTGCATGACATGGTTTCTGAAGTTTTTACCTCTGTCATAGGGAACTCTATGGCCGTTTCTACTCGTAATTCAATCAAGACTTCCCTGTGTCTGCTGCAACAATTCATTTACAAGGGAGGAAAAAGAAAACATTGTGTTGTGCCTCCCTGTTATGTGGCTGCTAGTGTTGAGGGGGGCGAGTTGAGGGAGCGGCGGTGACTGGCGTGCTACAGTACCCACTTGTACTGTTCACGCTCAGGATTGTGGCGGCTGGGGGCTGCGAGGGCGAGAGGAGGCCGGCCGGGGGCCTTTGCCCATGGCCGAGCATGAGGAAAAGAATTTTTTTTCTTAATTCTTGCTTGATTAAATTGATACATCTCCTCTCCTTATATAGAGAGGTTTACTTGACTCCCAAACAAGGCTTATTTGACCCCTAAGTGAGCGACCCTTATCTCTAATTAACCCTAACACTAACAGGCTATACAGCCAGCACAGGCCCAATAGGCCCTTGACGTACTCTAACACTCCCACGTTCACGTTGTGGTGCGTTGCGATGGACCGGTAAGTGTTAGAATAATGTGGCTGGCCTGCATAAATCGGCGTGGCATTATAGCGCAATCAGATCTTTTCATGGGCTCGCCGACAGGTCAAGCCGGTATGTCAGAATTATTGGAATTCAGTTGGTTTTATTTCTTCAGGTTTGATATAGTGTCTCACTGTTCTGTGTTACTTGAGATATTGTTGGTGTGGTTCAGAGCGTATCTGCCACACTCAGTGTAAGTATCACTTGATCTTTTACCAGGTCAGAATTCAATCATTCAGTGATGTTGCTTATAATTTCTCTAATCACAGATATAAGTCCATACAAAATGTCTCAAATTAATTCACTTAAGTTTTGCCATATCTATCTAAACTTTGTATTTTTGTGATCTAAATTTAACATAGATTAATGAAACAATATTGGCACTACTAGATTAATGATTTAAAATAATAATAATTTCATTATTTAAGATCCTTTCGATTTAAGATTGTTTTTTTATAGATATTGTTTCTAATAAAGAAATTATCAGTTCCTAATTGACTCATTTCATTTCTTGGCTGTGGCAAAACTGTTAGTATTTCTCTTTGGAATGATCTTGCTACTACGACTGGCCAAGAGCTTTTGGACATGGTTGACAGTTCTCCTGTCGTTGCGATGAAGAGCCTAAAAGTATCTGATTTCCAAGGTATGTCATCTAATCTCTGTTCAGTCTTCTTCATGGAAATAAGTTACTGAAACTGCTTCGTGATAACTGTGGTGCTGAAATTTGTCTTGTGGGTGTCTCTTTCAACTATAGGCAAAAGTACTCTTGCGATTAATCCAGACCTACCTGAGGCTCAGAATCTTAAATCATGGTAATACTTATCTCCTGAATGATGTGAGCTTGTTGTATGTTTTTAATCAGTATATCGCCCCGTTCGCTTGCTTATAAGCCATACTTTTTCACCAACGAATAACATTTTTCTCTCACAACAAATCAGCCAACGGTATTTTCACCATGGCTTATCAGCCAAGCGAACAGGGCAATATAGTATGCTAAGACATGTACATAATTTGTCAAATAGGTATCACTCTGAAGGCAAAGTTACTTCACTGGCACCAATTGGTGCAGAAATGGGTGCCACACGGGCTGGTGGCTTGAAGTCCATGTATTCTGATGAGTTTTTCTCTCACATCACCAGTGATCCTGCTATGGGCCAGGAAAAGGTACGATCCTGAATATTCACTGAAATGTGATAGTACTATTTATATCTTTAACAGGGGAATTGCAAATTTGGAGAAGCTCCAATTTGACTTGTTTTTGCTTTGCAGCCTGTTTTCTTCAGTTTGAATGCCATCATAAGCCACATGAAGCCTGACCAGAATATGTGGCACCGTGCTTGCAAGACCTGCAACAAGAAAGGTGACTGAAGCTTTTGGATCTGGATACTGGTGTGAGGGAATGCATTTACAAGGGGAGGAAAGCACTGTGTTGTGCCTCCCACGTTCACGTTGTGGTGCGTTGCGATGGACCTGTAAGTGTCAGAATAATGCGGCTGGCCTGCCTTGCATAAATCGGCGTGGCATTATAGCTCCATCAGATCTTTTCATGGGCTCGCCGACAGGGCAAGCTGGACGTGGTCGAGTGAGGCCAGGTCTACAGGTCTAGTAGGCGCTAGAACCCATCATATATTGTCCTGCATTATTTGCTCATACTATCAGGATCCTGTCTTGAAAATGATTTTCGTTAGATGTTCGCGATATATAAGTGGCCTAGTAGGCGTTCCAGTATGAACTTCCTCCACTGACAGTTACATTGCATGGATGATCTCTTGTCACACCGGCAGAAGTCTTGACAGTTTGCATCTGTTGAGCTAGGAAGGAGTTCGGTGCGTATGGTGTGCATGCCATGTCCCAAATGGTCACGTCAGGTCAGGATGATTCTTAATAATCGGTACTTACTGTTCGCAGGTCAGAATGTATGGAAACATGTTTTTTTTTTTCTGCTAAGCTGGCATCGTGGTGCAGTACAAAGGCCTAGTTAGCACGATTGTGTCCACAAGATCACGGCTCAGTCCGATTGGTGTGAGGATGATGAGCCCAACTTCTCGGCGAATTGCACTTGCACCTGTGTTAAATTCGTCCAGCCGTGGTTAAATTTGTGAACTACGGCAGGCGATCGTCGGCCAGAAGAGAGCAAGAACAAAATGCTAGATGGCTGAGTTACATTACATTACATTGTTAAATGGCATCGCCCCAACTGGCCAATTACTAGTAATGAGGGAGCGAACAACCGTGCCTTCAAGTTGGGGCGACCATAGCAGAAGGTCTGGGCCGCGTTTCTTATGGTTTGGCCGGCACTGGCAACTGGCATCATGCTTATTGAAAATCTTTGCGTTCCGTCACTTCCAAAGGTTCCACAGAAAGGAGCTGGCGGGAGAAGAAAAGATGCGTGACCTGATCCTCCCTAGCTCCCTGCAGTAAAATAAAAAATGGATCCAATCGGGCCAACCCGTTGGGCTGAGTGGCTGACGCCGACTCACCAGATGGCCCCGTGCTTGCTCCCCCATCCAGCCATCCCCGATTCCCCGTCCCATCGCCACGCCCACGCTCAGGCTTATCACCGGCTCCCATTCCATTCTTCTTCTCCATTTTATAATCTCTCCCCTCCCTCCTCTCTCCGGCCTACCCTTCCCAGTTCCCACCACCTCCACCGCCACTTCACCACAGGCCATGGACGATGACGTCGACAGCTCCTGCTCCACCCCGTTCGCCAGCGCTCCGTCCAGCCCCGGACGTCCCCACGCCATCGGCGGCGGCGGCGGAGGCTACTTCTTCAGCGCGCCGGCCAGCCCCATCCACCACCTCCTCCTCTCGGCCTCGTGCTCGGCCTCCGCGACCCCCGGCGCCGGTGTCGGGCGTGGGTGCGCGGGCGACGCGGAGTTCGAGTTCGGCGGGCCTGGCGGGCCCATGATCTCCGCCGACGAGCTCTTCCACAACGGCCAGATCCGGCCGCTCACCCTGCCCCCGCTCCCGGATCTCGACCCCGGAAGCGACGACGACGACGACGACGACTGCGGCAGCGGCCGCGCGTTGCCGACGCGCGGCCGCGACCTCACGCCACGGAGTGCGTCCGTGCACCGCCGCGCGCGGTCCATGTCCCCGCTCCGCAGCGCGTCGCCGCGGCTCAAGCTGATCAATGCGCTCGTCCCGGCGCCGGATCTCGGCCCCGCCGCCCCCGACGCGACGGGAACGCACGGGGAGGAGGCCGCGCCGCCGGTCACCGCCTCGTCCCGCTCGTCATCGTCCTCCTCCACGTCCTCCTCCTCGTCGGCCGCGTCGTCGTCGGCGCGCGGGTCCCGGCGGTGGGTGTTCATCAGGGACATGCTCCTCCACCGCAGCAAGAGCGAGCCAGGCAGCAGCAGCAGCGCCCACTCTTGCGACAGCGCCCCCGGGGCGCCGCCCGCCGCCGGCGCTAACAACAAGCCCGAACGAGCCTGGCCGTTCTCGCCGGCCTGGGTAGCCAGGGACAGGCTCGCCGCGAGGCTCCGCCCCTCTCGCGCGCCGCCAGCAGCGACGGAGGCCGCTGGCGGTCCCGGCGGCGACGATGCGGCCGGGTCGCGGGCGCAGGGCAGGGGCGGCCGCCGGCGACGTTCCACTACGGTGGCGGCGGCGCACGAGAGGCTCTACGCGGCGCCGAACCGTGCGCAGGCGGAGGAGATGCGGCGGCGCACGTTCCTTCCCTACCGGCAGGGCCTCCTGGGCTGCCTGGGCTTCAGCTCCCGCGGCTACGGCGCGCTCCACGGGTTCACCAAAACCCTCAACCCCGTATTCTCCCGGTGAAAAGTTGCCGTCAAAAGGCTCCCCCCAAAAAAAAGTAAAAATCGAAAGAAAATTAGAGATCAGAGCTTGAGAAAAAAAAAAGGTGTTGGGCCGACTTGATTAGCCACCTGTTCGTCATGTTCATGTAATGTACTATGCGAGCATTTTTATCTTGATTGTTTGCGTGCGTCCTGTAATCTGTATATATGCCTTGTTTAGATGGGTGTTAAAAATCAGTATTTGATACTGTAGCATTTTCGTTTATATTTGATAATTATTGTCCAATCATGACTTAACTAGGCTTAAAAGATTCGTATCATAATTTATAATTAAACCGTGTAATTAGTTACTTTTTATCTATATTTAATATTCTATGCATATGTTCAAAGATTTGATGCGATGGAAAGAGTGAAAAAACTTGAAATCTAAAGAAGGCCATAGGCGGTCTAGCACTAGCAGTGTCAGTGTTGAGTTCGGAGTGGAAGGTAGTTTGCCGATGGTCACGTCAAGCAGAGCATCTGAGAGAATAGAGATGCAGCCATGAGATGGCGCGAAAACAGTCGCTGGCGCCTTTTCTGTGTGCTGTGCGTGGTAGTGTGCCCAAGTATAAAGCGTGTACTGCTGCAGCATCTAGGAAGCCAGCTCATGCTATTTTGGTGTGAGAGAAAAATAAGCCTGTTTGGTTGGCTGATTTGTTTCGTTGCCCGGTTTGTAAAGAAGTACTGCTGGTTGGTTTGTGTGAGAGAAAAATACTATTCCGGCTGGAAATTTACAATTGTTTACGACAAGCCACAACCAAACGAACAGGCTGAATATTATATTATGACTGATAAGTTAGGCTGATAAGTACAAATAAACCGAGCCAATAGATTTGTATTGCGTACTCTAGTACACATAGATAGATTTGTAGTACGTATCGCTCCTTCAGCTCGTAGATGCGTCCACGTTACCGCAACAAGGTATCCAGGCAACGGGACGGGTTCGGATCGGGTGGAGTGTTTGAGCATCCAAAACCGAAACCTAAACTTCGAACCCAAATCCGCCCCGAACACCAATTTCGGTGAAAATCCGTCCCGAAACCGAAAACGACGTATCCTCGAAACCCGACGGATAACCCAAAACTTGGAAAAATTTCACAAACCAGCCAACACAGCCCCTGCTAGGTGGTTCCCCGCCGATACCGTCCTCCTCTTGGTCCCTGCGGGAGCGAGACTGCTGGCCTGCGCACTGCGGCTAGGCCTGGGGGCGACGCACCGCAGCCTGGCTCAGCCCCCGGCGGCGGCGCCTGCTGTGAGCGCCGGCGGTGGGCGCGAGGAAGGAGGCTGGTGATGGACGAACGGAGTGAGGGACGCAGACAACGAACGTAACAGAGAGAAGAAAGAGAAGGGCGCAGATTTCCTCGCTGGTGTGGGCGCGCGCGCACCGTGACGCCGACGGTCGGGCGCCCGACCCTGCTCCTTTGCTGGCGAGCGGATCTGGCAGAGTGGGCGCCTGGGCAGGTGGCACCAGCCCCTACGGCTCTGCTCCTCTACTGTCTATGCGGGTTCCTGTTCTGCTGGCGGCCGAGCGGTCGGGTGGCGTGGGGAGGGCCGAAGGTGTGCGGAGGGTGTGAGGGTTGAGAGTTATATACTTAGGTTCTTAGATGGGCTGCTCAATCATTTCGGGGCTCCGATGGTGATCCACGGGTAAAATGAGGATCCGCCCCAAACTCGAAACCGTTCGGATATCTGAACCCGAAAAACCGCGGGTGTAAATCTGTTCCTAAAACCAAAACCGCTAGACCCGAAACCCGTGAATATCCATACCGAACCCGCCCTGCTGCCATCCTTGTATCCAGCTTAGCCGATGAAGTAGCTTGTGTCCGACGGGCAACACGTCGTAAAATACGTGTATTGTTACTGGGCCTGGTATACGTCGTACTGGTAGTAGCTCTTTTCTTGCTGGGCGTGGTCGTAGTTGCGCAGGACTCTTTTCTTTTCCGAGCACTGCAAGTCTGCAACCGTCTTTGCACCTCCTTTACGCCGCCCCCGCTTTTCGGATCCGGTACGGTACGAACAAAAAGATGGGCACTGCTTTCCTTGGGTTCTTCTTCAACAATCACACGCACAGGCACGACGCCATCGGCATCGACAGGAAGATCATCCGTACCATTCACTCGCGTCAACGTCGTGCATCTCCTTTCCCGTCGTCAAGGCTCAAGAAGGATCGATCGGACGTCGATACCAGTAGATCCGGTGATCGGAAAACCGGATTAGCTGCGCTCGGATCGCAAGCACTGCAGCATCGGCATGGGCATGGCGCCGCGCCGCCGCCGCCGGTGCGGCAGTGCGGCGAGCTGGTGCGGGAACTGGGCATGGATGGTCCGTGCATAAATGAATGTGCAGGCACATGGGCGGAGCCGCGGAGGGGCCTCACGTGCTGTGTCGGGCTCGGGTGGTGGCCGCCTCGTGCTCGTCCTCCGCTCTCTGCCCGCATCATTGCGGACGTTTCGAGATCCGGGACGCGCGTGCGGACAAAAACGGACACGCCCCCACGGCGCCACCGCCTCGGCACGGCGCTGACGTGTGGGCACTCCCGCACAGCGTTGTCTCCTCGCTGCAACTGCAACCCCAGTCCCAGCAGACATAGGTTGCCCATAAGTAATCTTATAACCAAGTGTGCCAAGTCATAACAAATATAGCTAGAAAATTTAAAACTATATTTTATCATGTCTAAACTATATTTTATAATCTTAGAAAATTTGAAGGACACCTGGTGCAGTGGTGAGAGCTGTCTCACTAAGTCACTAGGTCGCAGGTTCGAAGCAGCCTCTCCGCAGATTATGGAAAGAAATGTTTGCTTCGGTTTTTCCCTTCTCCAGACCCCACTCATGTGGGAGCCTCTGGCACTTTGTGTGCCCTTTTATATTTATCATGTCTAAACACATTTTTTTTATCAGTGACATGTAAAGTCTAAAAAAACATATCAATGTTTAGATGTCAATCATTTGCCAACTTAGTTAAACTTGTACAAGGTGAAGTGTGGTAAGACAGTATTAGATGTCACGTGCAGCGGAAAGAGGCCAAAAACTTTTAAACTAGCGGGAGGACAATAGTTAAACTCTTCATGCGGGGTGACATGCCTCTTCTATCTCTAGAAGTGAAAAAATATGTGTAAATATTGAAAGTGCTCTAAACATACATAAATCTAGATCCGCGGCCTGAGCATTATTACATGTGTACACACTGCCTTTCAATTTTGCTGATATGTGGTAGTAACATGAGAAACTCAAAAAAAATCTTGGTCACTTGAAATTTTTACTCATATGTAAATTTGAAATGCAAGCTCAAGCTCAAAATTACTCCATATGAAAATAACAAATTTCATACGCCTGTGCACTAGATGATGGGCAAGCAACTTTCACTGTTAGAGAGGGTTGAATGTGGGTGTTGTTCTTATTTTGCCCGTGGGATTCAAATTAGTGTCGCCCGACCGTATTTCTCCTGAGTTGAAAGAAAAGATAGGAAAACTCTCTTTTTAGAGTTATCGTCCCAATAAAAATATTCTTGTCATAGGCCCCTTTTTTCTTTACAGTAAATGGTTATTTTTTTTTCCCGAAAAGCCGTAGGCGAGAGAATCGTCGGACATATGTATATAAACAGAGTAGAAAAGCAACATACAACAACATATACCAAATAAAAACAAAACACTCACAATACAAGCCGCAACTTGACACTACCATAACAAAAACATCCCACCATACCAACAAAGCACCGGCAGACAGACACCATCAAGCACGCCGTAGCAAACAAGTGAAAAGCTTGAGAGAGAGGGGGGGAGTTCTCAATAGCGAAGCCTCTAAGAAGGGAACCGACATTCACAAATGCCACCAATGCCAAACAGAGAATCGAGGTTTTTTCAACCGAACTCCTAGGAGGCAAGGGACCTCACGACAAGGCCTTCAACGAGAATCATGGCGCCGAGGCGTCACCATTGGAGCCGAGCAGGGCAGTTGCTTGAAAGTCCCTCGTCTCCAAAACCATTGCACCCAAGCACCACGTGGGGAGCTGCCGCCAGTAGTAGATTGCTATTGTGCCGACTATAATTGTGTTTAGTGGAGCCAAAGCGTTTTTAGCTACAATAGCAAAACAATTAGCAATATCATAGTAGGCAAGGGCATGCCCTATAAAAAGTTATATCGGACTATTTAGAGGCACGTGCAGGCTTGTCAAAACATAATGGTTGATGTTGGTCGGGGTTAGGGTGTTGATTGGTAGGGTTTTTTCCTTAGCAATTCAAAATGGCAGTCATGTCCCACGTTTTGAGAACGCGTTTAGGAAACAATTTCGTTTCATGTTCTGGCCTTATTTCTTAAACAATTAGTACATATCTGTATTGTAAAAAGCTTCTAGAAGTAAAGTAGTAAAGTACCACGGTTCTTGCCATATCGTTCATGAGAACGCAGCTGCTAAGGATTGTTCGAGGCGTTGTCAAGATATTATCTATTTGAATTTTAATCCAAGAGCTCGGAATTTAAGGGTCTGTTCGGATCGAAGGAATTCCAAAAGAATTATGGAGAAATCTATTCCTATGGAAAGGTTTAGCATTTTAGTGTTTGGAACAAGGGAATGACAAATTCCTTTCCTCAGGAACGGCTTCATTCTGTGTACAGAATGCATAGGAAATAAAACATCCTAGACCAGTTGGTTTTTGTTCCTTCACGAAGACCGATGCAGCTGCACACACTTTATCACTGTCTTGTGTGTGCCATCGACAATAAACTAGCTTCTTTGCCGATGCTGTAGGTCTGCACTTGAATCATGTGGTCATCTATCTAGTGGACCCTTGTGTCAGTGTCTCATGAATGCATAATGTGAGTTCCTGTGCTCCTTTGTGAATTCCTTCTATCCAAACACCAGCTCCTATGTATTCATACGTTTTTCTTTTCCTCTGTTTTGAAATGAACTCCACATCTAATTCCTGGGTTTTTTCTATTCCATTGTTTTGCACTCCTTCAATCCAAACATGCCCTCAGAGTGTGT